GAACATTTGAACTATTGAAGATTCTCTTGAATCTTCAAGTATTACTTTCATGGTTTTATAATTTGGTTGGTTAGAATATTTTAAGTTTTAATTGCATAGATTATGGAGAATGAACCGACTTATGAATTATGGTTATGTTTATGGAATGTGTGCTAAATGCTAATATGTAGTATAATTTGAATATAACTGATAGTCTGATACTCAAATAACTGCATAATCCTTATTTGGATTCAATTGGGCCGCCCAGGTTCTAGGCATCCTCCTAGTCACTGGGCGGCCTGAACCCCCCAATCCGCCTAAGACTGCCAAGCGTGTTTTGAAACACTGGGTGCATGGAAAGATTCAATATAGTTATCCCTTGTGCACAGTAGTTCAATGCAATTACAACAGGTACCCAAGATGGAGGAAGAATGTTCGGGACAATGGACACTTACATGCAGTCAGGGACTAGATTCCCAGCTGTAGCAAGGTCCTTTGCAAGCATTGTCATTTTATTGACAGCTCGGTCACTGAGTCCGATTCCATCATTTTGCAAAAATTATACTTTTCTAATAATAATTGCACATGGGTATCAAAAGTGGTTTTATACTTTTCAGATAGGACACCCATCATAATTCAAGCTGTGGTGTAATCCTCAAATACTCTAATTAAGTTGTCCTCCATAAAACTCAACATTATGGTCTTAGTTGTTTTATCATCTTTTACCTATTTTTTAAATCGCCTTCTGGCTTGACCATTGACAATAGGCTCTAAAACTGGTAGTTCTGTATCTAGACCATAATCCACCATATCTTGGAAGAGAATGTATCCATTTTTTTTTCCACATAGAAAAATTAGTTCCATTGAGTTTTTCAAGTTTTGATAGTTCCTGCCATGACTATAGCCTAGATGTCATTTGAAGTTTTAGATGTGCCTAAAATTAAATAGATATAAAATATAGGCAAATTAGGCTCAAAAAATTTAATTGTGTTTTAAAATGGGTTGTATGTTAGTCAAATCAATAGGTTGCTGATTCTTTATGAGCTGCAATCTCAATGAAGAATTCTCTCAAATAGTTTATGTGTACACTGGTGTGATGCAAGAGCCGAGTAAATATAAGGTAGCAAAATACTTTATGCAAGTTCTTGAACTATAAAGCTTAACATTTTATATCAATATGATAGAGTCTATTGTAATTGTTTACAATCGGCAATATGTGTTATTCTCAACAAAATATAGACTACAATTAAGAAAATCAATTTATAAAATCAAGAGCATGAAGTTTTGCCTTCTCAAAATCGACCATAGCATAGGGAAATTATGGAAATAAAGAAGATATGATTCAAATAAAATATCGATAAAAGAAATATCCCTAACCTACCAACCAAACGTGCAAGATAAAATGAACAAATAGATAAATAAATAAATCAAACTAATATGTAGAGGAAATAGAAGTTGATTTTTTTTTGATGCACTGATTTTCAGCAACAGTTATGTGTTTCTTTGTGTTTCTCTCTAAAATTTCAGCAATAATTCTCTCTCTCTCTCTACTAAAATTATAGTAGCATTTTGTGGATGATTGAGATTGCCGAAAATGTTTCACAAGGAAAACAATTAATATTAGGTAAAGGGAAAAAAAAATTATGTATTAAGATAATATACATATGCACAAAAGTAAAGTGGCTCGACTTATTAGTCAGGTGCAATTGGTGCCCTCTCCAAGCCCGAAGTTGGCCGAAACCACTTAGCCCAAGGGCTAGATGGGGTTGGTTCTACAGCGAAGGAGAACGCACGAGACTGGCTACACGGAGCAACGACCACCTTCTTCTCTTAGCAGTGGAAGGACGACACAAGCAGTGATTACCTCCTATTGACAACAAGCAGCAACCACCTCCTGCTTCTTGACAGCAGAAAAAACGTTAATGCACTTGCAGCCCTAGAAGAGAAAATCCTTTTTGCAATGATGGACAAAAGAGAAATCCTCCTTTTTTACAGTGAATTTATGTCACTTTACCCCTCTTGCCTAATATGAGATTCACAGAAATTATGTTGACATCAGTGGTGAGAGAAAGCATTGATCATAACAAATGGTTAGAGAGAGAAGTGATGGCAACAGATGATTAGAGAGAGAAGTGACAGTTTAAGTGATTGCAGGGAGCATAAAATAGAGAATAGAAATCTCAGCAGCACGTTGAAGCAACATTGCTTTGATACCAATGTTGAACTTTAGGATAGTAGATGGAGCTGCCAAAAATTCTTGGTACTGAAAAGGGAGCGTCGATGGACTGTAAATCGCAAAGAGCAAAAGCTTTTGCAGAACGATTGAAAATAACTTTTGTTTCTCTTAACATCTTCATGGCCATGGAACCCTAATCTATAGGGGATGGGAGAAAATCATTCGCTCAATTTTTCTATGGCCATGAAACCTTAATCTATAGAGAGATGGGAGGAAGTCATTATTCAACGTTCAACGTTCAACGTTCAACGTTCCTCATGGAATCTCATAGAAGTGGGTATCAATGCATGCGGGATAAGGAAGTTATCTAGTATCTATTGAAAAAAAAAAAGATTTTCTCTCCCTCAAAAACCTTTTAAAGATAAATATTAATTAATACATAGTCTTTTTAAAGAAAAATATTAATTACAAAAGAAAGAAATATGTGGCACATGTGAGGGCTCCATGGCTACCCACACATACCAACACATAATGCATTGCAATAGCTTATAAAATAGACCGTGATCATAAAGCGAGCCTGTCCAATTTGCGCTAATGTAAAGTGATAGAATTAACATGGCCACGATAAAGAATTAACTTCATCACAACAAAAGCAAAAACCATGGGCCACGATCAGCAATTTAAATGTCCCCTGAAAATTGGAAGTTCTTATTTGTTGGGAAGAAAGAAGTTATTTAAGGAAGTTCTGAGTGTATATATTTGATAACATGCTGGAATGTTAAAAAAGTTCTAGGTACCTGTTTTTGACAACCTATTGGAATATATTATTTAAATATTATTTAAATATTATTTAAATATTATTTAAATATTATTTTTTAAATATTATGTATTAAATATTATTTAAATATTATTTTTTACATTAAATATAAAACAATATATAATATATATTGTATTGTAAATATCTACATACATAAAATATATTATTGAAGAAAAATATATTACATTTTATAATAGGTAATAATATATATATATATATAATATAATAATAAAAAACAAATATATAGTAATAATTTAAATATAAAAAACATGATATCTATAACATACTATAACATATAATATAATGTATTTTATATTTATCTTATTATATAACATAATATATTATATAACATAATGTATTTTATATTTATTATATTATATAATATAATATATAATAAAATATATTATATACATAAATATATATTATATGATATAAATATGTATTAATAATATAAATATAAATATATAATATATATTA